TTTCCAAAATTTGTAAGTTTTTATTGCGATTCTTATTTGATTGACATATGTTCTTCATTGGTTTAGACAGAATGAAGTACATGTGGGCAGTGTTTCTACAATTTACTAAATTTTCGTATTATATTGCACTATATATACTATATAGTACATATCTCCACTATATACTATATACAATGGCTGAATATGCCATTGCCGTACTTTGTTCTGTATTGTTTCGTTATATTTTAAGTAAAATTAGGTTTTTTTGCTTTAGTAGTTTTGTTTTGCTTTAAACTTAAAATTTATATTTTGGACAATATTTTTTCCACCTAAGATGTCACTCATCATATTTTCTTCTTTATTGTGTGTCATAAAAAATAAATATATTCTTTGTAAAATTTTGTTATTCGCGTAATTCTCTGTTTTCCAATTAATGTCATTTCAGTTGGGAATTCAACACAAAGCAAAGTATATTGTAAGCTAAATCCATTTAATAATATCCACATTTGCTGTCAGCATTGGTCATCGACTAAAGCTTCCAATTAATTGCATTCAATTTAGAAATTCAGTGAGACGATCAGGCATTAAAAATGTTAATGGGTGAGGGCTCATTCAAGCGTTTGTTTTTAATTTTCCAATTACGCCTTCGAGGAAGTTTATGAATCGAACTTCAGTCTATTGGCATGCACAAAACTATAATTGCTTTTCTCGGTACACTTGGAAAACTAAGAACATTTTCATTTGCTAAAATTTTTAATTTTTTTGTTTTTATAATCTGTGACGATCGCGGTATGACATTGCTAGTTTCGTTTAGAACTGGGAGCGTCGCTCGCAGCTCATAAACTAATGAACCAATAACACACGCTGCGTACTGCAAGCGGCCGCAGTAGACGTCACCGATCGTCAACATTTTCGAACTTTAGTGGGCTTTGGACGACGTAGTCGTTGCATGCATGCGCTCATAACAACGTTCTTTCAACCCTCTTCCAAATAATAAAATGTATTTACAATAACAGCTCAAACAATGCAATTATAACGACACTCTAAGCCAGCGAGAGTGGAAGAGCGTGGAAGGGAAACATCTGTTGACCAGATGCCTACATATCGTTTATGTTTGTTTAAATGTATCTGCTCTGCTTTTCAATTTTAGTGAAAAGCAACACAAAATACAATTTTTATCAGCAATGTTTGCTGTTTTGTGTTTTGCTTTGCATGACATTTTCTCTCCAGTGGTGTTGTTCTATGCATGCTCTTGTTCCCCTTTTTGTCGTTTTATTTTGAATCTTGGAAATGTGTTTTTCAGTTTAAGTCTAATAGTCGGTTTGATTCATACTTGGAATCGGGGAGCTCGTCCGTGATTTATTTCGAATTTAGTGCTGTGCCTTGTGATGAGCTCGAAACTAGAACTGCGAGTGTATAAATTCGTTAATTCGAAATGTGAATGCGTCCGGCAGTAGTGGCAGACGTTGTACATGCGTTTCCGTGCTAAATTAGAAAAAAAAGTCATTAAAAATTCGGTTCTATGAAAAAAAATTTGCTAAAATTTGATTATAGCAAACAAAGGTAATGAATGAATAATTTGAAATTTAGATTATTTATCGCTGGGCCATGAATTGGTAATGAAAATCGTGACATTGCATAGTTTGTGCCCTAAGCACAGTTTCGCAGATCGTTTTTCGTAATTTAAGCTTAATTTCAAACAATTACGATTATTCAATTAAAAATATTAAATTAAACATGTGCGTGTTTGTTATGTTTTCGAAATTAGAAACGTTAAAAATATGTGAAAATCTTTCATTCAATAATTAATCAACTTTCCGATATTTCATTTTCATTTTAAATACTGCACCTATTTTTATTGCATTAGTATATTAATGAATATATATGCAATTATAACTTTATATAAAAGTGCCAAATGCTTGTATTATTTCATATAAAGAACATCACTCTTAAACGTTCTCGTTGCTTGTAATAACACAAATTTTTGGATCTATAAATATATTTTAGAATTATGGACTTACTTAAGTTGCTTTAATTTATAATTTTTTTTAATTCCTTAATTTAACTGACAGCTAACAAACCATTAAGATATAAACAAGACAAAACAAAACTCTACTATATATATTGGTCAATGCTTTTAAGTTCATTCTTAAAGTTAAGGTGCGTAATCCCTTTAATAAAACAATAAACATTTGAATAAAATAAACTGAAACTTTCAACTGAGTTTTATGAAACTTTAAGTGTTAAATCTAAAAAATATTCTAATAAAAAAATAAAACAAAAATAAAAAATAAATTGTCTTTAGTCTAAGTTTGCAAAGGGGAATCTGCAAAATAAGATCAGGATTATCTACACTTTTTTTTGATATACAACTATGTTTCTATACTAATAAATATCACAACAAAACTTTAAACAGAGCATAAAAATGTACTATACTACTAAATCAGTTCTGGTCTTTGTCAATATAAGTTTTGGACAAATCTTCATATATTTTGTTCCAATAAATATCACAACAAAACTTTTATTTTAGGCCAATGATATACAAAAAATTTTTTATATTAAATAAGTTTTGGTCTTTTTTTAGTAGAAGTTTTAGATTACTTATAAAACATTCTATTTTTTTTTAGCATTAGATAATAATTTTTTGGAGTAGTTGTAATAATTTTAATACATATACATAAATTTCATGTTTTCTTTCTTAATCGTAATAACCATCATTATCGTCTATATTTATCCTTACAACATAGCATGAATTTTGAATTCTTCATATATCATATTTCTCGTTTCTTCTTTATTCTTGGCTATACTTCTCTAATTTTTTTTACGTCATCTTAAATATAGTCTTATCAATGCTCTATATGAGCATTTTCAGTTGCTTTACGCATGTGATGCTGTCATATGTTCTTAAAATAAAGCCAATTCATTGTTGCACTTTGATAAATTAACAATATCTTTCGTCAAATCTAAAAACTTCTCGTTATATTCAATTGAGACAACCTCATTTTAAGGCAAAAAAATTGTCCACGCTTTGGTTTTTTAAAAAACTTAAGATAGACGTTGTGATAAGGAATCACAACCAAATTTTGGATTCGTATGAGAGCTTATGTTTAACCATTTTAAACATCTGTAGTTTGCATATTCTTGACTATTCTTCCAAACTTCTTTGGATGTATTCTCTCTGGTTACTCAGATAAATATTGTTATAAATACTTCGATGCACTAAAAATAGGAATTGCTTTGAGTCTGTATGGTTTCACTTTAAAGTTCTTTTGACTATTTCTGCTATTGTTTCTGTTTTTTTTTTGCCACATGTCAGTAATCGTAAACACAAAACATATAACTACTATTTCTATGTTTATAAAAACTTCTGTATAAGCAATTGTCAAAAATAATTACAAAGATAGAGTGTCCCCTTATTTTATTTCTAACCTTATTTTTAAATCTTCGTAGAACTCTTTTCATCCTTGATTTTTTGGAGTATAAATAATACAATCACAAATATTCACATTTTCAGGAAATTATTAGGAAGAGGTTTGCTTATGTGAAAATAACACCTCAATCATATAATAGAAAGTAGAGATGATAGGTACCAGAGTGGCAGAATACTACAACCTTGATCATTTTTACTGTCCACATTAGGTAATGCTATTGGGCCTTTAATTCCATTAGATATGATTATCTTAAAATAAATAAATATATATATATAAATAAGTAAGCGATTATGGTTTTCTAGATCTTTGGTGTTTATTTATATTATTTATTTAATTATTTCAATTGATACTGATAGGAAGGTTACTAATGCTATTGGGCCTTTAATTCCATTAGATATAATTATCTTAAAAGAAATAAATATATATATATAAATAAGTAAGCGATTACGGTTTTCTAGAGTTTTGGCGTTTATTTATATTATTTATTTAATTATTTCAATTGATACTGATAGGAAGGTTACCGTTAAAAGATAACGGTGTAGGGCTACGTTTAAAGACTCTTGTTCCCCAAATAAATGTCGTTAAAGTACAACATCTTTGAATTTAAAAAGATGTCGTAGCGTCGCAGCGAGTCATACAAAAAACAATCAATGATAATATAGTTGTACGTAGGTCTGCTGAATTGGTCTCCATACTGCATAATTTTCTATGAGGACATGTGAAATTGCTAGTCTACTTAAGTAAAGCAGAGAAATTGGATTACTTAAAAGACTGTATATCTTTGTTTCAACTGATTAGAAATAGGAACCACATTTGCGTCTGATTCAAGTCAACTGCTGCAAACACATGTCCCAAATGATATACAAACATTAATCGCATACAATTATCTTTTTATTTAATCACTTTAATAGACAGCGTGTTTTATTTAGAAAAAACTTGCTTTAGTTTTTTTTCTCTGAAATTTAATAAGAAAATTCCATTACTAAATTATTGTACATTATAATGAAATCTTGATACGATAGGACTTTTTTTACTTGCTATCACTTCAACATTGTATGGGTATTATTTTATGATATCAGCTTATCAGCTTGTAACATTTTAGTTATCAAATTCTGGTTTTTTTAATTTTTACTTTATGTTTGCGTAATAATTCATAATGTGGTATTTACATATGGAACAAAAGATTTAAGCGACAAACTTGAACTGAGACGAGTGTTTACAATGCAAGTGGAAATTACTGAACAAATTATATACAAACTACATGGAGAACCGCAGTTAGTTATGTCAATTTTCATAAACAAAAAAAATGTTGTTCAATTTCATGTTCAGTTTTGCTGTAGCACTTAAATAATTGTTGACACAGTTGGTTTTTATTCGTAAACTAAAACATCTATCTCATTCATTAGTAATCATATGAAATAATTTAAAAAAAAAAAATTTTTATTTTAAAAATGATAAAAAATTGTTCTAAGCTCTTTTCGTGAACGTACTCAGCTGAAATAATTTTTTTTTTGTATTGTGTTTGTGCCTGCTGTACTTTTATTTACGCTTTACTTTATTTCTAATTTGAAATATTTTCTCTTTTTACAGCTTTTGACTCACAAATCATATTAATCACCCCCTGAAATACAGATACACGATCTAACTTAAAATTTAATTGAAACTGAATTTTGGTGTTGGTTGAAAATTGGTACTTTGTTTATATATAAATAATTAATAATAAACTTTTTTCATTTACTGTGGTCAAAAAATATATTTTCTAAATGCAGAATTTTTATAAACATATATATATATATATATATATATATATATATATAATCAGTATTAAGCAAAAATATATCGAAAATGTATTGTACAATATGTGTAAAAAATATTAAAAATTATTAAGAAACCACTAAAAAAATCAATATTAAAAATAAAATTTATTTGGCGTCTTCGTCTTCAAGTATTATAAAACGTATTAAGCACCATCTTCCATGCCTTTTGATAAGCTTATAAGTGATATTTGGATGCAATGGACTTGAAACACCCTCCTGGATAGTTAAATTTATATACGAAAATATAAAAAAGTCATAGGGAACAAAGTCGGATGAGTACAGTACTTGGTCCCTCACATTCATTGTATTTTTATTAAAGTGAATTTTTTCTTTATAAAAAACCTAAGAAGTTTTTTTGCATAAAAGATCTTTAACTATGTTCTACTAATTTTCTTTTGACTTACGATAAAAGATGTTTAACTATGTGTTCTAAAAGTTTTTTTTAGCAGAAATATAGGAATTTAGCTACGATACATATTTGTACATATTAATATAATATAATAATATGTTATATGTTAATATATATACAGTGGCTCCATCGCATAATCGGTCAACAACTTCTTCGATATAAATGTGGTGTAAACTTTAAAAAAATATACTAAAAATATTATTATTTTTATTTAATACTTAACATACTTATTTATCTAAATATTAAAAGAACTACATTTTTAATATTAACTGTAATTTTAACGTAAAAAATAAAACCAACAATTTTTTTCGTTCAACACTTCAGGTACCGCTAGATATTCGTCATCGATGATCTTTCTATTTATTAGGTCGCAATTATCGATAATTAAATTAAAATTCTTTTAAAGATTATGGGTGGGGTATGGCTGCTATTACCCAAAACAGCTGTATTAATTAATTAATTTAAAATGAAATGCTTGGACTTAAAAATTTCATTACTTTTATCCCCTACTATATTCTAAGACAGATTGGGGTAAGCCTGCTATATTCAAAGCAGCTGTATTAATTATATAAAAAATGTTTTATTTGATATTGTTAGATGACAAAATTCAATATATTTGAAGTGTTAATTAGAATAAAAAATAAATATTTAAATTATAAATTATCTGAGTAGTTCACTTAATTTAAAATGAATTTAAAATGAATTTAAAATGAATTTAAAATGCTTGGACTTCAAAATTTCATTCCTATTATGCCCTTTTATATTCCAAGACAGATTTCTTATTATAGGATATCTAACTTTTAAACCCATTTTAATTAAAACGAAAACTAGTAATTTTTATATAGCATTTTTTATACACATTACTTTAAATTTTCTATAAATTTCCATTACTCACTAACAATTATTTGCCTAAACCTTCTTGAGCTAGGTTTTTGATTTAAGAGGAGGTTTATGGTCACAGTTCTTTTGGAAATAATTAGTATTAACTTAAATGAATTACTTTATCATTAAAGAAAAGGCTTAATTAAAATAAAAAAAAACTTAATAATTAGTTTTGATTTTTGTATTTATTGTTATATTATCTTCAATATAACTGTCGCTGTAATTTTAAAGTGTCTTTAACTTCTTCCTCAGAACGGAGTGTTAATATAACTGATCTTAAAAACATGTGGTATAAGGCGGTTATTTATACTGTTTATAGTTTTTTGTTTAACAATAATTTTAAATAACAAATAATAAATTAAATATTTTACAACCAGTGTCCTTGTTCATGGTTCTATGTTCTTCATCAACATAACTTCTAAGATAGATTTTTGCTATAAGAAGAGCTTTTCGGTCCAGGTCGAATTAAAACGATTTTGTTGAATTTACATACATTAATACATAAATGAATAATTTTACAAAATGAACGTTTGTAAAATATATTTTTTGACTACTAAAAAATTTAAAAAAAATATCGATTTATATAAAAATCAATGAATTAATAAAACAACATTTAAAATAAAAAAGGTGAAGTAGCTTAAAGTAAATTAAAATTTTGACAAAAACTTAACTTAGAATTGCTAAAAAATTGCTTGTGGTGAAGGAAATGCAATAATTATCAAAAACAAAAAAAAAAAATAAGTTAATTAGATGTAAATATATAAACTAAAACAAGACTTTAAATTAAAATTAAATTTTACGAAATAAAAATTTTAAATAAAATATATGAAACATGGTACGTAGTCGCCGTTCCATATCGAAAGATTATGCCTCATCGTTGCTGGGTGACAGTGGCATATCACTTTCGTCTCCGCCAGCGGCACGTTTAATTCTAGATGAGAAAGAGGAGGAAGCTATTATAGAACAGCTATGTGTCACTGATGATGAAGATGATGATGCCAATGATATTGATTATAATCCCATTTGTGATGATACCAACTCACAAAAGTCTGATAATGATCAAGTTTCACCGAGTTCATCGCTGGAAGATGAAACTGAAGCAAAACTTGAATTATCTATATCGTCGTCATTATCTACATTGAGAACATCTTCTATACGAAAATCAACTAGCAAACAATCAGGAGTAGTAGCCAAAAAATCTCGCATTTCGCACATTTGTCAAATTTGTCAGAAGGAATTTGGTGGTAAAACTGATCTTAAACGTCATATACTCATTCACAGTAATGAACGTCCACACAAATGTGAACAGTGTAGCAAATGCTTTCGTCAGGCTGTCAATTTAAAGAATCACATAACGACCGTACATGAGGATAAACGCCAATTTCCATGCCAGTTGTGCCCGAAATCGTTTGCGCTTAAAGAGCGTTTGCGTCTACATATGCGTATACATTCGGGAGAGAAACCATACGTCTGCAATTTGTGTGATAAGAGTTTTGCCAGAGGTGGGCAGGTAAGTGTTGTCGTAGATGTATGTTTGTCATAGATATCTAATGCTTTGATTATTTCCAGTTAAAACAACATCAAATATCACATCATAAGAACAGTATTAAGAAGTTCGTTTGTAACAAGTGTTCCGCGAGTTTTTCATCACCTACTAACTTGCGTGTACATATGGAACGGCATGAACAGGGTCCTGATCATTTTTGTGAAATTTGCAAAGAACACTTTCCTAATGATGTCGTCTTGCGTGCTCATATTAAAAATGTACACTTTAAACTGAACCAATTTGATTGTGATGTGTGTAAAGAGACTATCGAGGATGGTGATTTGATTACGCATATGAAAACTCATAAAAATATCAAGACTCATATATGCGGAGTGTGCAATTCATGCTTTACACAAAAGTCTCAATATAATGTTCATATGCGAATGCATACTGGAGAACGTCCTTATCAGTGTCAAGTGAGTTGCATAGGTTAACAGTCTTTAAATAACTTTTAGTTTAAGCAACTGTATTTAATTTTTGTTTAAAGATTTTATTTAAAATATGTGTTTTAGTTTTATTCAGTAAGCTTGTTTTAAACTATTAGAATATTTAAAAGCCATTAAACACAAAATATGCTCATATCGTGAAGTATATATGTGGTGAATTAAATAATTAGATCTGCAAAGATGTTTGTCAGTAAGTCAGTAATCCATATTTATTGGAATTCACCATTAGTTACGTCGATTATTTTTACTTTAAATTAAACGTAAGAAAACCTAGAGAGGTAAGACAAGACAATGAATATGTATATACTCAAAGAAGAGTGAATAATCTAGAATAGAATAGGTTATAACGCGAGATCCCTAGGGGATCCACTTTAAAATAACATTGAACCCTTGACGAAGCTTAGAATTTTGCTTAGAGGGGAGGTCTTGTAATTGATCAAGATTCTCAAGAAAGAGGAATCCTAAAGTGTTGAGTCGCCGCTGTGTATGAGCTTGTAATGAACCTTTCCGCCGAGGTTTTGCTCGCCGGATCCCAGGCTTGTTACAAGAAAATTTTTTTATAACCCTGAATCTTCTCGTCGTATAGTAATTTAAAAAAACCGGGCTATTTTTAGTTTAATTAACTTATTTTTACCAAATAGATTTCTTTACAATATTTCTATTAATACTTATTTACTAACAATTATAAATATTGAAAATTACTACAATTTCTATAATGAGAAAACTGATTAGTATTAGGAATAGAATCAACGTTACCGATTAGGCTACGTTGCTTGGAATTAGCGTTACCGACTAAGCTACGTTGCTTGGAATCAGCGTTACCGACTAGGCTATGCTGGTAGGTTGGGAATCAACGTTACCGACTAGGTTACGTTGCTTGGAATTAGCGATACCGACTAGGCTATGCTGGTAGGTTGGTAATCAACGTTACCGACGAGGCTACGTTGCTTGGAATCAGCGTTACCGACTAGGCTATGCTGGTAGGTTGGGAATCAACGTACGCGACTAGGCTACGTTGCTTGGAATTAGCGTTACCGACTAGGCTATGCTGGTAGGTTGGGAATCAACGTTACCGACTAGGCTACGTTGCTTGGAATCAGCGTTACCCACTAGGCTACGTTGCTTGGAATCAGCGTTACCGACTAGGCTGTGCTGGTAGGTTGGGAATCAACGTTACCGACTAGGCTACGTTGCTTGGAATCAGCGTTGCTGACTAGGCTATGCTAGTAGGTTGGGAATCAACGTTACCGACTAGGCTACGTTGCTTGGAATTAGCGTTACCGACTAGGCTATGCTGGTAGGTTGGGATTCAACGTTACCGACTAGGCTCCGTTACTTGGAATTAGCGTTACCGACTAGGCTACGCTGGTAGGTTGGGATTCAACGTTACCGACTAGGCTTCGTTACTTGGAATTAGCGTTACCGACTAGGCTACGTTGCTTAGAATTAGCGTTACCGACTAGGCTACGTTGCTTGGAATCAGCGTTACCGACTAGGCTACGTTGGTAGGTTGGGAATCAGCGTTACCGACTAGGCTACGTTGCTTGGAATCAGCGTTACCGACTTGGCTATGCTGTTAGGTTGGGCATCAATTCCTTTTGTGCTGCGAAGTGCTCTGCTCCGTGGCCTGCGATCAAGTGCCCATGCACTTGCTGCGATGCGCACTGTTTTAAGTGCTACGACCAAGTGATGTTTGTTTGATTTTTCGTTGCCTTTTATACTGGTTACTTCTAACAAGACTTCGGTTGTTGTTATTGCGGTGTGTAGCTCAACTCGAATTCATTGCATATACCATAAAGCAAAAACACAAATTTTGTGTTTACACCCAAAGGAAAATGGTTAGTGTTGTTGATAAAGCTTACAGCCAAGGAAATTATTGATAATAGTAAATTTATTGTTGTGATGACGTCGTTGTTTATTATAGTCGTGACAAGCTGGACAAAGAAAGAGTAGATGAGAGGCACTTTAGTGAATAATCTAAATTTATATAAAAATTATATCTCAATAAATAAAAAACATAATAATATAATAAATTAAAAAAAGTAGGAAATAACTTACGATAGTAACCACAATTCTTACAAATGACCAGATTTAAATAACAATAAGTTAATGTCCTACGGCAAATCATATTAGTCATGTAGTTCACTTTTAATTAACTAAGATGACATTTAAACATTTATTATTATTATCATTTCTTATTAATAGTAAATATCCTTTCTTTAATTATAAATTAATAATTCTTTCTCAAACCATTTTAGATATGTTGGCAAACATTTGCTTACTCCAGCGTACTCAAATTGCATATTCGTGTCCATACTGGTGAAAAGCCATTCCTGTGTCAAATATGTAAAGATGAATTGGGCTTTTCACAATTGGCTCATCTGAAAACACACATGAAAAGGATACATCATCAGGATAAAGCGTATATGTGTACTACTTGCAATAAATTTTTTAAAATTAAGGCTGAATTACAATCCCATGTACAGAAATGTAACAAAAGTAAAAATGTGACGGAAGAAAGAGATACCACCGATGAGGATATGCAAACATTGTCGCACATGCGTTTCTTGGTAGCTTATCTATACAAAAAGATATCATCCAAACAGCGATTACAGCAATTGGGTTTTGAGAAGCGTCTAATTGATAATGTTCTAATAGCATCGCTTAAACTGGCTAATCGTAAAGTATGCGATGATCAGAATCTATCAGCAATCGCACGTTTACGTTTAAACGTTGAGGAGTTTCTTAATTGGATTGTGCCAGCCAAACCAATGGAGCATTTGCGCAAAGAGCAGCTATCGGTTGAAAGTACTTTAGATAAAATCGCAACGATGTATATGAAACAAAAATGATTTAGTAACCGCAGCAGTGCTGCATTCTTTTCTTGTTTTGTTTCTTTAAAATATTTATTTTATTAGTTTTGCAATATTATGTGCCATAAATTGAATTAATTTTTAGTTTCTTATATTACGTTTATATAAAATTGCCAAATTATTTTTATATTCGTGTTAATAATGAATATATATTAACACACTTTTTATCTTAGATAATCATAGTGGCTATCATAATAAAATAAATAATTTTTTGCTTGCCATTACATATTGTTCCCTAATACAAAATCCAAACCAAATATTTCTATATCCAAAGAAAAAGTTCATTACTTCAGAGAATTTTTATTTCTAAAATTAGTTTATATATTCTTCATGCCAGTAAGAGTAAAGTTATTTTCATATAGTTTTTATGTATATGCTTAGTTTATAAGTTATATCTTTAAAATGTACAAAACTGAATATATAAAAATCGAAACCATTTTTATTAAAAACATCTAAAATTATATGAGTTCAACCTACAATATCATTATTTGTTAGCGTAACACAATTTAAAAATAAAATGTATTGACGGATATTAACAATTGAATTGTCTTGTTGTGCTGAATAAGTTCATATATAGTTTCTATGTTTTTAAGAGTGTCTCTTACTATTTATTGAATAAATATTTTGTGAATATAAGCTGTAATTAACGTCCAATTTTCCAGACTACAGTGACTATTATATTTTAATAGAAACTTATTATATTTCATAACGAATAGAATAGTATTGAAATTTAACAATTAAAAATAAAAATATAATTAATTAATTAATACAATTATTCTACAGCTGGTTTATGATTTCGTTCTAATATAAACACAGCAAGTGGATTAGTTAATAAAAACTTTTACAGTAAATTAACAAAAACTCCAGCAACATGTGCGAACATAAAAGTCAAGTATGGCTTTGGGTTAGTTGGTTAAGCAGCGCTGACTCTGAGCTTCAAATTCGGCAGGGCATGAGTTTGATTCCTGCTACTGGCAGTTTCAAAAATACTTATTTACGAATAATTAAATACAAGAATTATAAATACCCACCACGGATGATGGGTATTTGGCAATACTCGAAACAGCTATATGGTCAGTCAAAAATTCAATTAATTAAAATAATATAAAAAATAAAATTTTTGTTGTTGTAGTTCACTACTGTTCGAAAAAAACAGCCTTTGAATAAATGTTTCATTATTTATTTCAAAAACATTAAAAATACTGCTTTTGTCTTTATTAAGACTTCACTACACTTCATACAGATATTTAATTGACAATTGACAATTTATGGTAGTTGTATGAAAGTTACATGAAGTATTTTTTTTATTTAAACTTCACCTAAAGTCAATGTTCATGTTATGTTGAAAGCCTAAATATAGGTGAAAGTGTTCTGAAAGTGACTAGTTTAGTAATGGCAACAAAATAATTCATTTTGGCTAGTTACAATGTCATACACGATTACAACGTTACTCACTTACTTAGTTTGTTACTCGGGACTGTAGACACTACTTATATTGTTAATAAGCAAGCAAATTGCAGCTATAGAGACAAATGCAACACACCTCCTTTATGTCATCATTAACATCAATAATAGATTGGTTTTCTTTATTTTTTTATTGCGTTACAACAATCCTGACAAACTTAATGAACTCTTTAAATAATAATCAAAAAATATGTTAAACGTTTTTCATACATTCAGTTTTATTAGCTTTACTACTAGTCACAGTAATATAGTTTTATATACATTGGATTGAGATAATGTAATTTTTATTAAATTGTAAAACGAGAAAAAATCATCAACATTATTTACCAAAGTAATTAAATAAGGTATTGTGAATGTCGAACCACATAACCATTGCCTCATTAAATTGAATTACAAACTTCTATATGTATATATAACTTATATATATATATGTACAAATTACCTAAATTATTTATAAAATCAAATAATATAAGATATAATGTAAATTATAAATTCATGGAATAAGTAACGCCCCTACAAAAGAAAGGTATTGAAGCTTATCACTTAAAAATAACTATGATTAATTAATTCAATTATTGTATAGTTGGCTTATGATTTTGTTCTAATATAACACAGCAAATGAATTTGTTGATGAACTTTCATAGCAAATTAACAAAACCCTGAATTAGAATATACAAGTTAAAGAATATACGAAAAAGCTATTAAAAACGGTAGTTTATATTAAAATGATAGTTTCTTTTATTATAACTGACATTAAAAATTAAATTTAATATAAAAGTGCTGGACAACAGCACCAAATACGGGAAAACGGCGTAGCTTCTAGCTAAAAGATCCAAAAATAGACAAAACGATCAAAAATGGTAGCTAAAACATCTTTCAAAACAGCAAAAAACGTTTAACTGACCAAAAGTGCTAGACGTCATTAGGCTTAAAATTTTCTGAAAAAAGCGCTACATGAACATTTTATTTAAAAAAAAAAATGAATTAATAAATCGAAAATATTAAATTTTATTTTCTATAAAACTTTATAATTAAATTAAACTATATATGTTGTTCTCCATATGTAGTATTTTCGTATTTAATTTTAATGGTTAAAATTATATTAAATTTTATGTTACTCTTATAATAAATTTGAGGTAGAAATTTTGTAAATTATTTTCAAATTATTTTTTTTTTTTGTTTAATTAATATTTTTCTTTTTTTTTTATAATTTGATGTTAAAAAGTCGTATGCTTGCTTACAAAAAAATAATGTTGAAATGATTTTTTCGCTTTTAGGAAAAGGCCAGTCTTATAAAAATAAAAAAATAAAATTACATTGATACTATATACTTTCAAACAAATTTAGACATATAATTTGTGAAAATGTAAAAATTTTTTACTTGTAGAAATAAAAGTCCAATTACATGTCTAGCTTATTAATCTATATTTACATTCGACAGCAATTAAATGGAATTGGTATTTGAAAGTTACATGTATTGAAAACCATCCTCTGTGTATAAAACTCTTAAATTAAGTTAGTAAATAAGTTTTATCTTGCCATAAAAGTGTAATAATTTTAACTGCACAGTATGAAAATATCAGAGAATTTGATTTTAAATTTAATTATCTATTACTTTCATTTATCTCAACGAATAAAGGCACCTCAATAAATATATATATAACATGTTGTTTGCTGAAGGTGAAAGTTTCATTTCTTTAATAGCGTAGTGTATTGACATAAGTCATATAATTTGTTTTTTGTATTTTTTAGTGGATAAAATATTTTTTAATAAGATATCCTGTGGATGACACGATCACGCACTGTAAGTATAACAGCATTACATACTCCAAAACTCTATGCTGACAATATATATTTTTTCTGACATGAAAAATGTAGCACACTAATTGCACAAATAGTATCTTTAAAAAAATTTGTTCCACAATTGTCTTATAGGCATTTCTAGAACTAACACCTCTACACATAGAGCCATAGAGTGTAGCACAATAAACGCTATATGGCGTTTTTAGAGATATAAAATATATCTCTAAAATTTGAAAGCCTTCAAGAAAATTACCTTTTTTGGCATTTTATATTTCACGGAAATTCTTAAAAGAAAAAAATGGAAAATATGGAGTTTTTACATCTACCCAATGTGTGAGTTTAATTTACCAATAGATTCAATTTAAATAATAAACCTTGTTGCAACCAGTAGCGAGGCGTCAGATTTTGGCAAGGTGTTCATAATTTGATCAAAACAGAATTCCAACTATAACGTATTCCCCCTACTCCTGAGTTTTGTCCTTTCCACAAGCAAATAGCATACAAGACCGACAAAATAATTTATTTAAATGTTCGCAGCCTATGATCCATTGGTTTTATGGTAAATAGCTGTAGGAAACCGGTGTCTTACCACAGATTTCGACATTTTCACATCAGGTACCAAATTTTTAATATCTGGAGTTGGTCTATTCATTTTATGAATTAAGACCTTTTTTCAGAAGATCGTTTGAAAAAAGATATTTGAATCAAATCTTTAATCACACCTTTATCCATTTCTAAATATTATTTTTCACTTCAAATTTCTTTAATTTTTTTCTTAATTTTTACCATTTGCTAGTATAAAATTGCAATAATGACTTTGTTTTTGGTTTATTTCCAACCTCTACATAAACGTAAGAAACTCTCATGCATTCATTTACTCTTTTACTTTGTATTTACTATACGCGGTTCAGTTTTTTAACTGAACCGTTTGCTAATATAAAACGGCAACCGTGCCTTTGATTGTATTTGCACGCTTTGTATGAACTTATGGTTCAGTTTAGTCGATTGAACCTCTTGTCAAATGTAAAGCGATTTTCGCTCAGTCATTTCTATTCTCTTTTGTATTTACTTTGCATAACATTGGAGGTTCACTTTTTTTATTGAACCGCTTGCACACATTAATTTAAGAGTTATGATTATTTTGTTTTTGTTTTCTCTTTTATTTTTATATATGTTTGTATGTTTTGTGTTTATTCACTACTGAACATAGTCACAATGTGAATGTTATTTCATTTGCATGCTTTGTAAGCAGCGCGGTGCAGTTTTTATTCTGAACCTTAGTATATTTTAAGAGGAAGTATATTTTCTCTTTTATTAATTATAAGTAATGTTGGGTGTAACTAACATATGTATGTGTGGTTTTGTTTGTATTATACGTTTTGTGTTTATGTTAATATGTTTGGAAAAGCTATTATAAAAAATGTTAAGTAGCAAAATAGCGAGATTATTTATCTAATAAAAAAAAGATCTAAAAAGGAAGCTTTGTTAAGGTGTTCACTGAACACTCTGAACCATTCGACGCCTCGCCTCTGGTTGCAACTACATCTATGGATTCATTTTTAATATAGACGTCATTCGATTTCGTCGACCAATATTTGATTTCAAATAGTTATAATAATAATAATTTGTTTATTCAGTAAAAGTCAGTGTAAAAAGCAGTCCTTCCAAAACTATCAGTTTGCAGTTAATTCTGAAAGAATAAATAGTTAATGACATCTGTTTATAAAGTGGGTCATATTATGTTATCAACTTTTTTGACCATTACTAAAATTGCCAGTTTTTCTAGTAGAAT